TATGGGCAAAGAACTTTGGATAGAACATAGAATTAGAAAAATGGCAAAACCTATGGGAAAGAAACTTTAAAATAACGAAAGCGGCAGCATATAAAGAAAACTTATACAAAATGTTTCATAGATGGCATTTAACACCGGTGAGATTAGCAAAAATGTTTAAAAAGATGTCTAATAAATGTTGGAAATGTAAACGAAAACCAGGTACTTACCATCATATTTGATGGACATGCCCTAAAGCTAAAAGATTTTGGTCAAGAATACACATCTGGTTAGAGAAAATGACTAAAAAACATATAGACTTTAAGCTAGAATTGTTTTTGTTAGGTATAATAGTAGGAAACTATGAGAAAGAATGTATATATTTAATTTTACATGTATTAACTGCAGCAAGAATAGTATTTGCTCAATACTGGAAAAATGAAAATCTACCAATGGAGGAAGAATTAATTAAGAAAATCTTAGATTGTGCTGAAATGAACAGATTGACATTGAAGATATAAAGGGAAAGAAGATTCAGTATACTTTAGAACATGGGACAATTTTTATCAATGGCTAGAAAAATGAGTCAGAGAGAAAGGAATGTGATATGTATTATGTAACATTAAATATGTATTAGTAAGAAGAAGACTATTGGGTGACATGAAGATGTAAGAAACATATTATTAACATATTGATTATGAAAATATAGAAACTAATTATTACGGATTATTTTTTAAACACATCAATCCAGACAATAGGCTGTTTGCTAAATACTAAAGAATGTTATTTTATAAAAATTAATAAAATATGTATAGGTATATATAAAAAAGAAGCAACTGGATTTTCTTGTTTTTCTTTGAAGACTTTTCTCTTCTCATCCAAGAAGCATCTTCAGCTTCTTGGGTGAAAAGCAAAACGTCTTCAAAGAAAAACAAAGAAAGCCCAGTTGAACTCTTGAAAAAGCACCTTTGGGACAACAATGACCTGGATGACTAAGAATCTCCATAGACAGATTTCCCTAGGCCAGGGGTAGGCAACCTTGGCTCTTTTTATGACTCGTGGACTTCAACTCCCAGAATTCCTGAGCCAGCCATGCTGAGGGGAAAGGGAGAGGTTTCCAAGCTGAACCATGGCTGGCTCAGGAATTCTGGGAGTTGAAGTCCACGAGTCATAAAAGAGCCAAGGTTGCCTACCCCTGCCCCTAGGCTGCCCCTTGGCCCAGCTCTGCACGAGACACGAGAACTCCACTTCTTAAGTCCCTGCCCATCGGATGGCTCCAACTGCAGAGAGGCACTCACCTCGACACGCTGGTGATACTCGGGCAGTAAGAGAAGGGACTGGTCCGACAGCAGGAAGCGCAGCTGCTCCAGTTCGTCCAACACCCTTTGGCGCTCTCGGAAGCGTACAAACTAGAGAGGGAGGAAGGAGATCCGGAAGGTGAGAGAGGGGATGTAAGTAAATTTGAAAGCCTCTTGTGAAGAATGACCACATCCCCAGCGACCGTGGGGTGGAGGAAGGGATGCTTTTCAATGCAAGCAAAAGAGGCCAGGTTGGGCAAGCCTGTCGGAATATTTGTTAATCTTTCTGGAAAAGAGATTCATCCCTACGTCTGGGCTGCGATTCCTCATTCAAAGGAAACCGAAACAGGGCTGCTGCTTGTTAAAGAACATGATGGAGGAAAAGGACGAGGGGTGACATGATAGCAGTGTTCCAGTATCTCAGGGGCTGCCACAAAGAAGAGGGAGTCAAGCCATTCTCCAAAGCACCTGAAGGCAGGACAAGAAGCAATGGGTGTAAACTAATCAATGAGAGAAGCAACCTAGAATTAAGGAGAAACTTCCTGACAGTGAGGACAATTAACCGGTGGAACCACCTGCCTCCAGAAGCGGTGAATGCTCCAACACTGGAAGTTTTTAAGAAGAGACTGGACAACCATTTGTCTGAAATGGTATAGGGCAGTGATGGTGAACCTTTTAGAGATTGAGTGCCCAAACTGCAACCCAAAACCCACTTATGTATCGTTGGGTGCCGGATGGGCGTGGCCCATTGGGTGGGCGTGGCTGCAGTGGTAATGGCAGACTGGGTGGGACTAAAAAGTTCAATCAATCAATTCCAACTTTGCGAGATCTTTTTTTTTTCCCGCGAGAAGTTGCAATTGACTGAACTTTTTTTTTTTTTTGCACATGGCGGCAGAGGCCTAAAGTGAAAAGGTTTTATAAAACCCAGCTGAAGGCCTAGGACTGGGGCGGCGGTGCGCGTGCCCACAGAGAGGGCTCTGAGTGCCGCCTCTGGCACCCGTGCCATAGGTTCGCCACCACTGGTATAGGGTTTCTTGCTTGAGCAGGGGTTGGACTAGAACAGGGGTCTCCGACCCCCGCTCCGGGGGTCGGTACTGGGCTGGGGCATGCCAGCAACCGGGCCGCACAAACAAGCAAAGCTCCATCTGTGGAATGTAGGCAGCACACAAAACCACGCATCCTCCATCCACAGAAAAACCTCTCTCCCTGGTGCCCAAAAGTTTGGGGACCTCTGGACTAGAAAACCTCCAAGGTCTCTTCCAACTCTTGTTATTCTGACTCTCATTTCCAACCTTTGCCTCGGAGATCACCCAAGCTTCTGGGATAGGAGGGGGAAAGACCAGCTGTGTCAGAGAATCACAGGGCTGGAAGGGACCTTGGAGGTCTTCTAGTCCAACCCCTGCCCAAGGGAGGAATCCTTATACCATCCTGAACAAATGGTTGTCCAATCTTTTCTTGAAAACAGTCAAGAATTCTGCAATTGGCCAACTGGAACTATTCTACAGATTAAAGAAAATAAAATTGAGATAGACAGACAGACAGAATTAAAATTGAAATTAATATGCGTGAGTGCATTGTCTTTGTATATGCTAGATGTGAAAAGTTAAAATGCGGACAACATGCTACCTGCCTTCCACCAAATCCTTAATTTATTTCTACACTGCTGTTCAGAGGTCGGAACAGCTGACCAGGCAAAAAGAAAAAAAAGGAAAAAAAACCAATACATCCAACCATCCCAACAGGATCAACAGGGCTTGAAAAAGAACAAAATGACATCAATTAAAGAAAAACAAACCGGAAACAAGAAAGAGGCAAACTTAAAGGCTGGAATAGCTGCTAACTAATAATTTCCTGGTAGGTGTGGTTTCCTGTTTTTTTTTTTTTAAAAAAAAGAGATGGCAAGGAGGGGAGGGCAGCATCAGGAGAGAGTTCCATGGAGGCCGGGCATTGTAATGAACTCTGGATCACAATGACACTCCTCGCTCCCGTTCCTTCTGAACTGTACCAAGGGGGTTGGACTAGAACAGACATGTCAAACCACAAGGCCCGGTGGCTGGATGCGGCCCACAAAGTGGTTTCATGTGGCCCGCGAAGCCATCCTGGAAACAGTGAGGGAACGGCCCCCGCTGCCTTGGCCCTGGCCCAGGCCGGCCAGGAGCCAATGTACAATTTTGTGGTGGCCATCTATGTTGAAACGCATTCAGTCTTAGCTCCACAAGGCCGTCTGGAAACAACGAGGAACCAGCCCCTGCTGCGTCGCCCCCGCCCCCTGGGTGCATGCTGGAGAGGTGTCACCCTTTGTGAGGAATGAAGAAATGGACCATGCCTTGGCGCTTGCCCCGGTCCCAACCCCTTCTGCCAGAGACCCTCAGATCTATCCCACTCCTGCCCAGGCCCCCCACAGGCACCCTTGACGCGAACGATGTAGAGCTGGCCATGCCCACCCAGTAGGCCACACCCACTCCATCCATGCCCACCCAGTAGGCCGCACCCACCCTGGCCACACCCACCCAGCCCCCCGAGGGCAACCACAATGCTGATGCGGCCCTCAATGAAATTGAGTTTGACACCCTTGGACTAGAACAGTGGTTCTCAACCTTTTTAATGCCGCGACCCCCAACCGGCCGTAAGTCGAGGACTAAACCGGTCGTAAGTCGAGGACTAAACCGGTCGTAAGTCGAGGGCTACCCAACCGGTCGTAAGTCAAGGACTTTCCCTGCCTGGGAGCGCCGCGCATGCGTGGTTCCGCCCCTTGTGCTGGCCGAGGCGTAGCTGGCAAGCGGCAGAGACTGAGCAGGCCGACCACCAGCTGGCCCAGCTCAAGGGAGGTAAGGCACCCGCCGGAAAAGGGAAAAAAAATGGCGGACAGCCTTGCTTGGCGACCCCCGTGAAATGGTCAATCGACCCCAAATGGGGTCGCGACCCATAGGTTGAGAACCGCTGGACTAGAAGATCTCCAAGGTCCCTTCAACTCTGTTATTATTCTGAAGATGGTCCCCTCTGCCCTGCCTCCTTTCCAAACCTTGCCCACAAAATCTCAGCCCTTAACTGACCTCTATGTGGAAGAGGGGGCTGTGCACACACTGGAACTCTGGCAAACGTTCCTCCAGATTACGAGCCCGGATCGTGCTCTCTACGACCTCCAGACCCTTCAGCTGAAGGTCGTTTACGGGATCCAGAAGGGGGAGGCCTTCCGGAGAGCCTTCAGCTAAACGCAGCAGCTCCTGGGTTGCTGTGGCTGCTGATGGTCCAGGTAGGTCATTCCTGAAGATGGTGAGAGAGGGACATAAGGAGGCCACAGTAGGTGTTTAAGGCCCGACACTTGAAAATCAGTGTCTCCAGTCACTGGGTGCCCTCAATCCTTACAAAACTTCCCTTGTGTTCCAAGTCGCCTTAAGTTAGGGATCGTGAGGGTGGTGCCTCTCAAACAGAAAAGGTAGATAAATCTTTAAGCCAGGTCTAAATGGCTGCGAGATCACCAGCTTTCATTGCAGTTTTACAGGTAGTCCTCAACTTACGATTGTAACTGACCCCAGGGCTACAGCTGTAAGTTGTGGTGTCAATTAAGCAGGCCGCCACATGGCCGCACCCAATTTTGTGAGCTTTCTTGTGGTGGTTAACACCACCGCCGTTAAACAAATGCCACAGCAATCAAGAAAAATGTTTTCCCCAATGGATGTTTTCCCCCAGAAACTGGAAGTAAATACTGGAAACCAGCAAAAAACCAGTGACACTGGAAAAGACCATAAATGTATGCCAGTTGCCAAGCATCAAAATGCAATCACATGGCCATTCAGGGCGAGTGTTGGTGTTAGCGCGGCCATCCCAAGTTTGAAATCACTTCATAAATAGCGCTGGGGAGGTCCATCATAACTTTGAACGGTCGCTAAGTAAGGATTACCCGGAAGAACCTTCTCTGATACAATTTCAAGATTTTGACACTTTAAAAAGAAGTCTGGGCACAATGGGGCCTATTTTCCTACGTTACTATTTATTTATTTATTAAATTTATATACCGCCCTATCTCCCTTATGGGACTCAGGGCAGTGAACAGGCGATACTAAAAACCACGATAATAATAAATAGTTTGTTTTAAAATCGAATTAAATAACAGGCCTGTTCTAAAAACACACCCGTAAAACCCCCCCCACTGAAACATAATCAAGCTACGCCAGGCCGGCCACACGGAATAGATGGGCCTTCAGGGCTCGGCGAAAAAGGCGCAGGTCCGCAACTGTACGTAGGTCGGGGGGGTAGGTCATTCCAGAGGGCAGGAGCTGCCACAGAGAAGGCTCTCCCCCTGGGGGTCGCCAGCCGGCATTGTCTGGCCGACGGCACTCTAAGGAGGCCCTCTCTGTGGGAGCGGACTGGTCGAAGGGAGGTGTTTGGTATGTGAGAGAAGACACATAAGAAAGAAAGGATCAACTCCAAACATCCGGCAACCAGCTTCAAAGAAGAAACTGAGAAAAACTGAGAGAGAAAAAAATCACGGATGTGTGCCTGCCCAATTGACTAAAATTAGCACTTTAAAAAAAAAAAAAAAAAAAAATTTCGAAGAACTAAGCTCCAGATTGCTGGAATACAAAACCGAGGAATGCTGATCCTTACATGTAAACCTCATTTCCCAGGCAGGTTTATTTATTTATTTGACTTATAAGGCCAACCCCATCTCGAATGAACCATTCCGGGCAATTAACAATGCAGCTAATGCAGTGTTTCTCAATCGTGACAATTTTAAGGCATGTGGACTTCAACTCCCAGAATGCTGGCTGTGGAATTCTGGGAGTTGAAGTCCACATGCCTTAAAATTGTCAAGGTTGAGAAACACTGAGCTAATGGAATCTGAAAGCATTTGTGATCAGAGGAGGCAGAGTAGAAACGGCAAGTTTCGCCTCTCGGGCTCACCTGAACCTGGGCATCTGTCGTTTCCTGAAATCCTCCAGGATACGCTCGGCATTCACGCGGAGGGTTTTCGGCGTGACGCCCAGAATATCTGCTGGGCCCAGCTTCTTTATGGTGTGTCCACAGGGGCCTGGGAGGGAGAGGAGAAAAAGAGTCTGGGTGTCAAGAGCTGCTCCATGAATTCTGCCCCTCCCTCCCCAACCTCCTGCCCCCCCCCAACGACTCCCACCATTTTACCTTCGGGAAGGAAAAGCTTCGTGTGCAGAAGATCCTCGGGCAGAGGCACTTCAGCAGAGGGAAGGGGATTCCATTCTTGGCCCTCAGTCAAGCCTCGCTCCACAGAGTTCTTCTCACACATCACTAAAGTGCTGAAGGCCCGATTGGCTGAGTCTGAAGAAACCTGGAGGAAGATAAAGATATGGTGGAATATTCAAAATATTTTTTAAGAGAAAGATAAAGTTTAAGCCACGGTTATTCTTGTTGGGCATTATGGGAAATTTGGATAAAAAAAAGAAATGGATTTGATGCTGAATTTGATAACTGCTGCAAGATTATTAGTAGCTCAATGCTGGGAAACGGAAGGTTGGCCCACTATAGAAGATTGGGCATTTAAAGTTTCAAAAGTGAGCAGAAATGGCTAAGATTTCAGCCTACGTGAAGGATTATTCACAAGAAAGATATATTTTGGTTTGGAGAAGATGGATAGACTCTATTGAGAATAAATATGGAACTAAAAAGTTTCATTTGGTTTTTGAGTAAATTTTAGATTGTTTAGATTGTTAATGTAGTTTATTTCTTTTTAATTAGTAATAAGATGTTATAATTATAATTATAATTATAATGTTTAATACGTTTGTTTAGAAGAGAGTTAAAGGATGGTATAGAATTGTTAATTTAATAGTGATATAATCTAAGACAGAGTATATTTATTGTATTGTTAACCCTGTGACTGGCTCTGGGAAGTCGGGGGGGGAGGGAGGGGGGGGAAGGGTGGGTTTTGGTGGGGAGGGGAGTTATATTGTAAAACTTTTTAAAATTTTCAAAAAAAAAAAAAAAAAAGATCTTCATTTCAAAATGGCACCCGAGAGCCACCGGGCCCAACTTTCACACTAAGAAAACTAGTTTTCCACCCTCAGGCCCAATGACGGGAGGCAACCGCGCCACGAGATAAGGTGCTGCGAGCTACAAGACCGAGAACTGTGGATCATTATTTAATATCACCTCAACTTTGGCTATCTCATAGATACAGTGTGGGTGGGTGGGGGG